GAAAGGTAGGCCGAAGACCCTCCCACCAGCAGCGTCAGGATTCGAACGCATTGCAACGCCATCTTTAATGCCAAGACAGTGGGAAAGACAAAAATAGCACGAGTAAGAAAGAGAGATTAAAATAAATCTCTAACTTGAGGCAAATATTATATAAAATTATCAAATAAATTGGAATGTTATGATGTATATAAAATTAATTTTCTAACTTACTACCACCTATTCCGGAAGGAAGGCGGCCTGCAGCAGACGCTAAAACAGGGGAGGCAGATGAGGCTGCAGCTGTGCGTACAGCAAAGGTACGGTATCTACGAAGGGCACTGGTTCCTGCAATTCCAAGAAGCTCATTATAATCACCTCCGGTTCCAGAGAAATGGTGGATATCACCAGTTTCATCAAGAGCTGCACAAAGGTTAAAAAAAGAGAGCAATATAAAAAATAGAATATAAGGATTTTAGTCATATATATTAATTAACTTTATTAGAGAGCGTGATTATATTTAGATAAGAGAATATCGGTGAGCAGTATTCAAAGTAACAGAGTAATTTTAAAAGGCCTCATTCTTCCATTAAAATGCATAAGAAATAGATACCAAGTCCAAGATGTTGTGGCCACTAATTTGGTCGCAGTTTCCTTTCGATGTATATTAGTAGTTTGACCTTGTTTTCACAACTTGGTCATATTTGAAGGAAGACCTAGATGAACGCACGCCATCTCTTTTACAAGTCGTAGTTTGGTGCTGAGAACGACAAGACTCATTGACAATGCCGGTGAAACGTCTGGGAGTGTATCTAGTCAACGGTTTGACTCTAGAAATTATCATGCATACTATGGACTCCGGACAAGGTGCGTTCCTCTAGATCTTCCTGCTAATATGACGAAGTTGCGGAAAAAGGCCAAACAACTGCTGTATAAGAAATAATTTATGAATTAAAACCAATGAACAATACAAGTGCTTTTTGCACTGGACTTAATTGAAGTAGAGGGAAAGGCGGAGAAAATTAGAACTTGACAAATGGATTTAGTTTTATAGTGTATCAACCGCCTCTTCTTGGTAATAGTGATTTGGACTAAATTATAAACTACAGCGAGCTTTGAAGTAGGATGGTGAACTTCGGGAATAAAATATATAATAGCTCGACAATAAAATCAATCCATTTTAGATGAAAAGCCGATTCTAATTAATACAATGAAAGTAAATGCTGAAACCTGGCCATTCCTTAAGTAACTAACAGTGTATGGAATATAAAAGACCTAAGATTTGCATTTAGAATAATGAAGATAAGCCGATGGTTTCAACAAATAATAGACCATAGTATAGGAGAAAGCATAAAATAATCAGTTATTCCGAAGGTATGAAGACCAAGATGGTGTGGCCTTTTGAGTGGTCGCAGTCTCCTTTCGTTGTATAGACGTTGTTTGACCTAGTTTTCGCAACATCAGTTATTTGTCTAAAAAACCTAGTCGTTCTAAAAGTTTGGCCTCCTTAGGGCACAGGCTTAGGGATAGTCTAATATAAATGAAAGAATATATAAGTGTTGGGGGTTTAGGACATGCAGAAAATGGCTCGCAGCTGTTTTGGTATGGAGCCTATAGCTGACCTGCAAGTTGACTAGTAGCAGAGGATAACGCTTCATTGATCAGCTTGTGCCAGGCAAGAAGCTCATGTGGCTTGTCAACGCAACGCCGCAGCGGGTCGACTGACTTTGGCAAGGTGAGTAAAGCATTCTGGATAAAATCGCAGAGCAAAGGAGAAGAGGCTGAAATCCCAGCAGGAGGCAAGTAATCTGTAGATAAACTGCGCCCGAGTACGGCGGCCTAAAATAAACACATGTTGGATAGCAAAATGAGTTTTGCAATAGGGAATAAATAAAGGAAAAATGAAATGAGTATTCGTATTTAACAAAAATGCTGAATAAATTAAAGGCCTAAAATGTGAGCAATAGAACATAAGATCATTCATTCGTAAGTGTCACTACTTTGGGATGATCGCAATGCTGAGGCAAGGCTTATGAGCCCTTTTATGCGATCCAGGAAATGGAATCCTCGCTTAGGCTAACATAAGAAATTAAATTCTAAGACTTCAGAGTCAACTTAGTAGAGTTACCTCTGGCATTGTAGCTAAATAAAAATTGTAACCACTCTAAATCACATAAAAAATGATAGTTTGATCTAACTACAAAGATATGAATGGCCTTCCAACGTCACAATATCACCTCACCATGCTCGCCAAAAGGTATTTTTAGCCAGGGTTGATTAAAGTTTCGACCTCCCCTGGGCCTTACTAGCACCTTCAGTAAGAATCGAGCCTGGGTAGTACAGCGTATAATTTTGAAATTTTACCACTTCCGCATAACGTCAAAAGTGGCACTGGATCTAAGGGCAGAAGCGACCTTCGAGGAAAATCGATTCTATACCATGGTACATTTACAATGAGATTGCTGATGAGGCAAACAATTAAATAGAGGTTGTTTGACCTTGTTTTCGCAACTTGGTCATATTGGTAGAAAGACTTAGAGGAACGCACGTAGTCCGG